TACCGCCGGCAAATTTGTCCGTAGGGTTGGCCACCGGCGAACGCCCTCGGTATCTGGGAATCCAAGGAGATAAAGAATACTGCATCACTAGGTAATTAAATCGACCATTTAGCTTCTTTTTTTTTTTTTCCATGAAATTATTACTCCTTGCATTTTTTTTTCCGCGAAATTATTACATCTTGCACCGACCATTTAATTTTAATAAGTTGCATCATGCTTTCAGTTTACTCACTCTCTGTATTCTTCCACGAAGGGGTTGAATTAATGCCCAGTGAAGTACATACAAGAAGCTCAATAGTGGCCGGGCGCGGAGGCTCACGCCTGTCATCCCGGCACTCTGGAGAGGCCGAGGCGTGGAGGGAATCGCTCGAAGGCTCAGGAGTTGGAGGCTGGGCCTAGCTCAAGAGAGACCTCGTCTCTACTAAAAAATAGAAGACATTAATTGGCGAACTAAAAATACATAGAAGAAATACTTAATTGGTTTGGGGTGGCGCATGCCTGTCGTCCGCTACTGGGAGGGAGGCGAGGCGGGAGGAGTCGGTCGTCGAGTCAGGTAGTGGAGGCCAGCCTGCAGGCGCAGAGCGAGACCCAATCTAGACTAAAAAAAGAACAAATAGGTGACACCGTAAAAATATATAGAAAAAATGAGCCGGGTGTGGACGTGCATGCCCGTCGTCCCATCTATTCAGGGAGGCTGAAGCGGGAGGATCGCTCGAGGTCAGGAGTTCAAAACTACCTGAGCAAAGTGAGCGAGACCGTCTCTACTAAAAAACAGAAAGGGAAATTAGCTGACAACTAAAACATATAGAGAAAAATGAGCGGGTGTGGTGTCGCATGCCTGGTTCGTCCACGCTAACTTTGGGAGCTGAGGCAGGAGAATCACTTGGAGGTCAAGAGTTTGAGGCCCTGGAGCAAGAGCAGAGACCCCGTCTGCACTAAAAATTGAAAAAAATTAAATTTGTTCAAACTAAAAGAAATATAATATGAATAAACGAGCCGGGCGTGGAGGCGCAATGCCTCGTCGTGCCAGCTACTCGGGAGGAGCCGAGCAAGGAGCTCGCTTGTGAGGCAGTGAGGTGGAGGGCTGCTGTGGAGCGAGGCTGACGCCACGGCTGTCTTCTAGGCACCGGGCGCAGAGCCGAGACTGTGTCTCAAAACGGGAAAAAAAAAAAAAAATATCTGTTTCCTTTAGTGGTTTCTTCACGCAGACACGAAAATGCAATTCAGTCACCAAAACATGATTTTGTCGGAACCTGCGGAAAAAGGCCACATGAGACAAAAAAAGATAAAAGAAAAAATATTAACCCTCTCCACTCGCTTGCTTTTTCTTCTCGATTCCCTAATTCTACTCGGAATTTAATTTTTTAAACACCCCAGATTTTACGAAGCGCGGCAGGAGCATAAAAACCTGGAGTTGCTTTCGTGCAAACGTATCTATTTGGATATTTTTTAAATTTCCGATTGTAGATGCGGTCAGAGCATTGTCGAATCGCTCGACTGCTGAAACGGTTGAGTCACGCTCGATGTACGTGTGCAAAGGCTTAAAAATTGAAAAAAAAAGAAAAAGAAACGTGGAAAGGAAAATGATTTAACAAAACAACAGAATAAAAATGAGGCCAGGCTGGTCGCTCAACGGCCTGTGCATCCCAAGCACTCTGGGAGGCCGAGGCGGGGAGCATCGGCTCGAGTCAGTGTTCGAGGCCAGCCTGAGCAAGCGCGAGACCGTCTCTATAATAAAATAGAAAGAAATTAATTGGCAACTAATAATATAGAATAAAACGGAGCCAGCAGTGGTGGCGCACGCCTGTCGTCCCAGCTACTCGGTTTGGCAGGTGGAGGCGGGGAGGCCGTCGCGATGGCCAGGAGATTGAGGCTGCCGTGAGCTTTAGGCTGACGCCACGTCGCTCGCTCTATCCCGGGCGCCAGAGCGAGACTCTGCCTCAAAAAAATAAAAATAAATAATAAATAAAATAAATAAAAATAAAATAAAAAATAAGAGCGTTTTTTGCACGGCAACGCGGATAAGTGGCCGCGTCAGCGAGTCTGCGGGGCCGTGAATTTTTTTTGTGTACTTTTTATTACGTTATTGTTATTTTCCGTCTGTTCCGCGACGACTGTTCTTCCTGCCCTCTACTGCCCCGGAAGAGACGCTGGTGTGGCGCGGTCCTACGTGGCCTGGAGCCCTGGAGTGCGCGGGCTTCCTGGCCGGCCTGGGCCTGGACGTCACCGTCATGGTGCGCTCGGTCGTGCTGCGCGGCTTCGACCAGGACCTGGCCGACAGGCTGAGCGCCTACATGGAGCAGCACGGCGTCACCTTCCTGCGCAAGTTCGTCCCCGCCCAGGTGAGCCCGCCGCCCGCCACGCGGAGGCCCCTCTCCTCCTTTGTGCTCTCTGGTCCTTCCGCTTCCTTCTTCTCTCTTCTTTTCTCTTCTCTTCTTTTCTTTTCTTTTTTCCTTCCTTTTCTTTTCTCTTTTTTCTTTTCTTTTCTCTTTTCTCTTCTTTTTTCTTTTCTTTTTTCCTTCCTTTTCTTTTCTTTTCCTTTATTTTCTTCTCTTTTCTCTTTTCTTTTCTCTTTTCTTTTCTTTTCCTTTATTTTCTTTTCTCTTTTTTTTTTTTTCACTTTTCTTTTCTTTTCTTTTCTTTTCTCTTCTCTTTTCTTTTTTCTTTTCTTTTCTCTTTTCTTTTTTCTTTTCTCCTTTCCTTTCTTTTCTCTTTTCTTTTCTTTTTTCTTTTCTTTTTTCTCCTTTCTTTTCTCTTTTCTTTTCTCTTCTCTTGTCTTTTCTCTTCTTTTGTCTCTTCTCTTCTTTTCTTTTCTTTTTTCTCCTTTCTTTTCTCTTTTCTTTTCTCTTCTCTTGTCTCTTCTCTTCTCTTTTCTTTTCTTTTCTCTTTTCTTTTCTCTTCTCTTGTCTCTTCTCTTCTCTTTTCTTTTCTTTTCTCTTTTCTTTTCTTTTCTCTTGTCTCTTCTCTTCTCTTCTCTTCTCTTTTCTTTTCTTTTCTTTTTTTGGGGAGACAGAGCCTCCCTCCCTCCCTCTGTCTGTCGCCCCGGGCTGGA